GATACCTTATGGATACATTGCGACCGGTCGCGGATACCTTGCGACCGGTCGCTTCCTGCGATTTCTCCAGTCTTCGAATCTGTGTAAAAACGACCGGTCGCCCAAACCTTGCGACCGGTCGCTCACTCCTTCACTTGCATACTAAATGTGAGCAATTTTTCCAACAAGACCAGCAACAGGCAAGCCTGCACCTTCAGCTGCTGAAACTTCAGGTGGCCTAGAAACTATACTGATTTCTCTTTAGCTGCAGCAAACTCAGCCAGCCCACCTCCATTCTATGACAAGAGACAAAAAAATGAGGCCTAAAATTAAGAAGCAGATAAATTTTATCTGTAAAACTTTTAACCATACACAAGTATATCTTCAAGCAAAGGTGAGTGGTGCTTACACTGTAAGTAAGTAAGGCCACACTTTGTCACCAACTTTGAACTTTTGAACTCCTTGTCCAACCTCTACACTACAATCTCTCCAGCCACATCAGTAACTGTTTTCCATAATGCCATCATCAGCCAGAGATAACAAATCAAAAGCCTCCCAGCCTAAAACTTGAACACATATTGAATGCAGAAATCACAAAACAGGTCATCATTTTTCAGCTTAGGAACAATATTTGTTTCAGAATCCAACTAATCCATCTGCCTCAAAACTCTCTCCCAACCAAGACTTCCACATATGAATCAAATGTAAATGAGACATACATGAAACACAATATGAACTGTTATCCTAATTTCTTACAAATGTCACATAGGCTTATATCTGACATGTATGCCAGAAAAAAAAAAATTGTGAAGTACAGATCACCGGCAAAGGAGAATTACCAGGCGTGTGAGGCAATTTGCGTGGGAGAAAAGGCCGTGCCATGCCTTTCTGAATTTTAAAATCACCTGGATTTAGACTAGCTGCTTCCACTTTCAGCAAAACCTCGTCTTTCTTCGGAGTGGGGATTGGAATCTCAACATGCTGCAACAAAACATAACAAAAGTATAACAGTTGATTAAGGTATAACTCTAGACATAGACAAGGAACACAAAAGGCCTAAAAGAAGCAAGCTGCAAAACAGCAAGAAACAAGTAGTACAATGTCTTAAACCCATTTCTCTTTAAAGCAAGCAGCACAAGCAACTCTCTTCACCAGTTCAGCTCAACATTTTTCACTGGTTGTAAATTCTCTCCCTTTTCCCTTTAGGATCTCAATTTCGAACATGTTTTGATGCACTCAATTTGAAATTGAGACAAATAGAATAGAAAATGTCAGAAGCAAAAAGAAATAATAATTCAAAGACTTCTACAAGAACATTGGCAGAACACATGAAGGAAAAGGAGCAGATAAACTAAGAACCTTTAAACCAGAAGGTCCATAGCTTTTGTACTGGACCGCATGCATAAGCTTTGCCGCCATGGCTTCCAAACTCGGAGACAGAGAGTGCTAGAATTGTGAGAGACAAGTTTTTGCTGTGACAATGCACCATCAGGCTAACCCCATATATTTATAACAATGAAAACATCATGTGAACTGCCATATATTATACTGTAACGTGTAGAGTTTATAAACTATTATGCTCCTCAAAAGTCAACCTATGAGGAATAATATTGGAGCATTTTGTTTGATTAATGATTGTCTCATAGTTTACAAATTTGAACTTGATTTAATAATTTAATAATTCTATGAAAATTTTATTCCAATCACGTATAAAATAAGAACACAAGAGAATAAAGCAATTGTATTCTGAATTTGTTGTTCTATTTAGCATATTTATCCACAACAGCTTGGCTTGTTCGCCAAGCAAAATCTAACTCAGAATTAATAAACATTAGTTCTTGATCTTATTCTTAATTTGTAAAGGACTTTTGGTACATTAATATTTTATGATGCAAACATCTTTTACAACCAATTAAGGAGGTATTTAAACATAATCAGAGCATTCTCATATCCTAAAGCATCCTTGTAAATGTTCCACAAATCAGTCACCATGGTAGAAATTATCTCAGAGAAACCATCAAAAACCTCTGGGAAATCTGTCAGTAACCCATCAAGCCAAGACCTTGTTTTCTCCTTGAAATTTTCTTTGCTTTCTTTTACAAAATCATAGGAAATAGAGATTAGAAATATACAATCCCAAAATAAGTACATGAAGTTTACAATCCAAAGATACTTTATCTACTTAAGGCTCCACAATGATCTTCCCAATAGCATGCCCATCCATACTTTTATTAGGGAATCTCCTATATCAAAGGAGATCAGTTCATCAACAACTCAATCTGCTCCATCAACAACACAATCGGCTCCTCCGTATGAAAGTCAAATGTGATATATATGCTAAGCTGTCTTTCCTATTCTATTTGATTAGGATTGATTCAGTCACTCAAGTCTGATTGTATTTACCTTATTAGGATTGTATTCAAACTGTATATAATCATAGACCTGTACCTGTAAACATCATTATTGAAATATACCAATTGATCTCAGCACTTATATGGTATCAGAGCCCAAAAACTCCAACGAGCAAATTTTTTTTTTTCCTGATTCCTCTCTTCTCTGTCTTCATCCATGGCCACTGACGCCTCTGCAACCATCCCTGTACCAGAGATCAACTCCTCCACTCCCACCTTGATCACAATCAACGCTACAGCCCAACTACCCGTAAAACTCACACCCACCAATTACCCATCATGGCGTGCTCAATTCAACGCCCTCCTTTACGGCTACGACCTCATGGGTTATGTGGACGGTTCTAGTCTCTGCCCATCAACCACTCAAACCGTGCTTCGCACCTTTTGGATTCGGCAAGATCAACTCCTCCTCCATGCGATTCTTGCTTCCGTCTCACCACAGGTCATCTCCCTTATCGCCTCTGCCAAGACATCCAAGGAGGCTTGGGACAAGCTTCTCCATCTCTTTGCTAGCAAAGCTCGTGCCCGCGTTCTTGGTCTCAAAGAACGCCTCACTCTCCTGCGCCGTGAGAACAAGCCTGTCTCTGAGTATCTGCAAGAAGTCCGTGTTATTGCAGATGAGCTCGCCATCATTGATGTTCCCCTCTCCGATGACGATCTCCTCCTCTACATTCTTAATGGTGTTGGATCTGACTTCAAGGAAATTGCTGCGGTGGTTCGTTCCCGCGACACCTCAATTTCTTTTGAAAACCTCCATGACAAGCTGGTTGAACATGAAGCCGCTCTCAAGCGTGATGATACCGCTGTTGCTGCCCCAGTGATCACTGCCAATGTCACTCAGACATCTCGCTCCCACACCTCAAACCGTGGCTATCGCTCTAACAACTCCAACTCCAACCGTGGGTCCTTTGCCTCTCGCAATCCTTCTCGTGGTTCCTATGGGCCCACCCAACCAGCTTTCACTGACAATAGTCGTCGCCCTACCCACATGAACAGCACAGGTTATCGTGGTTTCTGTCAATGGTGTGGCACTCAAGGTCATAGTGCCAAACGCTGCCCCCAACTCCAATCTGGCCCTCACAGTCAGCCAGTGGCCAATCCTACCACCCATGGTAGGCCCACCTCTTCTCCAACATGGTTGCTTGATTCTGGTGCCTCTCACCATGTTACCTCCAACGTCAACACTCTCTCTGGTGCCTCTACATATGATGGTCCTGATGAAATAATTATTGGTAATGGTTCAGGTTTGGGTATCACTCATGTCGGTTCAACCACTTTACCCTCCTCATCCTCTCAATCTTTCACCTTATCCAATGTTCTCTGTGTTCCTTCTATGCAAAAAGACATTATTTCTATTTCTAAATTTAATAAACAAAATAATACATCTATTGAACTTTTTCCTGATTTCTTTCATGTCAAGGATCTGAGCACGGGGGCGGTTCTTCTTCGAGGCCCGAATAAGGATGATGTGTACGAGTGGTCTCCCAAATCCTTTTGTCAACCGCAAGCTCTAGTGGGTGTGGTGGTCTCTCCCAACCTCTGGCATCGTCGTCTTGGTCACCCCAGTCACAAAACTCTCCAACAAGTCCTTCGTTTATCTTCCATTAATGTGTCTTCCAAATTGTCCGAGTCTGTTTGTCATTCGTGTCTATGTAATAAAAGCCATCGGCTCCCGTTTGGTACTTCGTCTCTCACTAGTCATGGTCCATTAGACCTCCTTTACAGTGATGTTTGGGGCCCTGCTCCATACTCTTCTATTGATGGTTTTTCCTACTATGTTATATTTGTTGACCATTTCACAAAATACATATGGCTCTACCCTCTCAAAAAGAAATCTGATGTGTTTTCCACTTTTGTCACCTTCAAAGCACTTGTCGAAAATTACTTCAAAAGAAAAATCACTAGATTATACACTGATGGTGGGGGAGAATTCATCAAACTCCAACATTTTCTCTCATCCAATGGCATCACCCATCTTCTTACACCACCTCACACTCCGCAACACAATGGGGTCGCCGAACGGCGACACCGTCATATTGTTGAAACCGGTCTCACCCTTCTTCATCAAGCTTCTTTACCTCTCACCTATTGGTCTTATGCCTTTAAAACAGCTGCCTATCTTATCAACCGCATGCCCACTCCGCTTCTCCACAATCTCTCCCCATTCACTCAACTATTTGATGAACAGCCCAATTACTCCCGTCTTCGTACCTTTGGGTGCTTGTGTTTTCCTTGGTTACGTCCTTACAATTCAAATAAATTACTTCCTCGTTCCCGCCCATGTCTCTTCCTTGGTTACTCACCTAATCAAAGTGCCTTTCAGTGTCTTGATCTTTCCTCCAACAAAATTTTTATCTCTCGGCATGTTCAATTTGATGAGTCCACTTTTCCTCTTGCCAACCTCCCTTCCTCCATTCCCCATGTCACTGTTGATAACTCTCACACTTGGGTCTCCTCTCTTCCTCCAGTTACTTATGTTCCTATACACTCACCCACCATGCCTGTTGCACCGGTTGTTTCTTCTTCGATGCCACCACATGTCACATCAGCCTCATCATCAGCATCTGCCCCCGTCTCGGAGCCGTCACCATCAGTATCCCTGGCCCCCATTGCTGCTGCTGCTGCTCCTCTCTTACCATCCCCCAACCCCCAAGCCTCAGCCCCTACCTCACATTCTCCAGCCCAAATTGACCCAGCCCAGCCACCTCCCCACCTCAGCCCAATTCGTACATACACTAGAAACCCTCATAGGACTGTTGTCACCTTTCCATCCTCTGACCCGCACCCTTCCAACCCCCCCGTACCCCCTGTGCTCCCCGATCATTCCATGGTCACCCGTGCCAAAGCAGGTATCCACAAACCTAATCCCCGATATGCTATGACTGCTACTAAACACCCCATTCTCTCCTCCATTGAACCGACATGTGTTTCCCAGGCCGTTAAGGATCCCCTTTGGCGACAAGCAATGTCCAATGAGTTTAATGCGTTAATTCGCAATGGTACATGGGAGCTCATTCCTTCACTCCCCTCTCAAAATCTTATTGGTTGTAAGTGGGTGTTTCGTATCAAACGGCATCCTGATGGCACTATTGACAGGTACAAGGCACGCTTAGTTGCCAAGGGTTTTCACCAACGTCCTGGTGTTGATTTTTCAGACACTTTCAGTCCGGTGGTCAAACCTACTACCATACGAATTGTTTTGCATCTTGCCGTGACTCATGGTTGGCCAATACGTCAGTTGGACGTTAACAATGCTTTTCTTCATGGCACAATCCGTGAAAATGTCTATATGGTCCAACCGCCTGGTTTTGTTGACGCTAATAATCCATCTCATGTGTGTAAATTGAGGAAAGCCCTCTATGGCCTCAAACAGGCTCCACGGGCGTGGTACAAGGAATTACACTCATTTTTGCTCTCCCATGGCTTTGTCAATGCCATCTCTGATGCCTCGCTCTTTCTCTTCAAAAATGGGACTACTGTAATTTATTTTTTGGTTTATGTTGATGATCTTCTTATTACAGGTAATAATTCCTCACTTGTGGCGAAGTTCATTCAACTCTTAGCCACTCGGTTCTCTGTCAAGGACTTGGGCTCATTACATTACTTTCTTGGTGTTGAGGTTCTTCCCACAGCCACTGGTTTATTCCTCTCTCAGCAAAAGTACATTCATGATCTTCTTGTCAATGCCAAGATGGATGGTGCAAAGGCTGTCAGTACGCCCCTCTCCACAACTGACTCACTTATGCTCCATGATGGCTCCCCCCCAACGGATGCAACTCCCTACCGTCGTCTTGTTGGTGGTCTTCAATACCTAAGCCTTACACGCCCTGACATCTCCTTCGCAGTCAATAAGCTCTCCCAATTCATGCATTCTCCTTCCGAGACTCACTGGCAGGCACTCAAGCGTCTTCTTCGCTACTTGAAGGGTACCATCTCCTTTGGCCTTCATCTTTGTCGCCGCCCCTCTCATCGTCTCTATGCCTTTTCCGATGCTGACTGGGCTGGTGATCATGATGATCGCAAGTCTACGACTGGCTATGTTGTCTACCTCGGTGGAAATCTGATCTCTTGGAGCTCCCGCAAACAGCGGTCTGTCTCTCGCTCCTCCACCGAAGCCGAATACCGCGCCATTGCTGCCACCACTTCTGAACTCACATGGATTCAGTCCTTATTGCTTGAACTTGGCATTCCTCTCCCCACAACACCAGTTGTCTCCTGTGATAACATTGGAGCCATGTTCTATTGCGCTAATCCTGTCCTACATTCCCGTATGAAACATATCGAAATTGATTTTCAGTTTGTACGGGATCGTGTCACTCGTGGTCTTCTTCAAGTGTCTCATGTATCTACTACTGATCAGCTTGCTGACGCTCTCACCAAACCCTTGCCGCGTCCCCGTTTCCATCTCCTTCGCTCCAAGATCGGTGTCTCCGATGGTGCCACCGTCTTGCGGGGGCGTATTAGGGAATCTCCTATATCAAAGGAGATCAGTTCATCAACAACTCAATCTGCTCCATCAACAACACAATCGGCTCCTCCGTATGAAAGTCAAATGTGATATATATGCTAAGCTGTCTTTCCTATTCTATTTGATTAGGATTGATTCAGTCACTCAAGTCTGATTGTATTTACCTTATTAGGATTGTATTCAAACTGTATATAATCATAGACCTGTACCTGTAAACATCATTATTGAAATATACCAATTGATCTCAGCACTTATAACTTTTACCCCAAGCATCTTCAACCTCAGCTAGAGCATGCTTTGAGTCAATCACTGTCTTGAGCTTTCCTTCTTTCACCAGCTTAACAAGATACTCCAGGTTCTCAGCCTTGGGATTCATGAGCAGCGGCACCAGCTGCTTCTTGGAGAAGGTGAGTGTGTTTAGTACCAAACTAAGCAAAGCGCTTGGACCAATAGTAATGTCTACAACCTTCCCTTCTGCACTTAAATTAGGCTCAAAAGTTGACCAAGGAGTGCCGGTTGCACAGTGTATCACAGCATCATATTTTCGACCAGATGGACTCTTAAGAGCTGCTCCTTCTGGGGTCTTGTAGTCAAGAACCTCATCTGCCCCTAAGCTCTTCACCAAATCAATGTTCTGAGCTCCGCAAGTGGCTGTGACATGATTGTTTCCAAGCTTTGCTAGTTGGACTGCATAGTGACCTACACCACCAGAGGCAGCAGTAACAAGTATGTTCTTGAGCTCACCAGTTCCATCAAGCTTGATATTTGCAGCTTGAGTGAGAGCCTGGAGAGCTGTGAGACCGGCAATAGGTAATCCTGCGCCTTGGGCTGCTGAAACTTCAGGGGGCCTAGAAACTGTCAATCTCTCACTAGCCACAGCATACTCAGCCAATCCACCTCCATTCTTTCAAAATATATAATATGACAACAGAGATAAAGCAAGGCAGAGATTATATCAGAAACAAACACATGAGTTTTGTATGTGAAACTTCTAACCGGAAGGAACAAATTGAGCACTTACAAAATAGTTTAGCAATGCCACAACTTTGTCACCTTCTTTGAACTTTTTGACTCCTTGTCCTGCCTCTATAACCTCTCCGGCAACATCATTAACTATATTCGACAATGTCATCAGTCAAACTTAACAAACCAGCCTACCAGCCTATGACTCAAAGACATCTTATGCACATAAATTACAGAACAAATCATATTTACAAACCATAGGCAAAACAGAATTACCAGGTATGTGAGGGAGTTTGCCTGGGAAAACAGGCCACAATATCCCTTTCTGAATTTTCCAATCAGATGGATTTAGACTAGCTGCTTCCAATTTCAGAACAACCTCATCTTTTTTTGGAGTGGGAAATGGAACTTCTACATGCTGCAACAAACGTAAAAATCTTTAGGCATCCTTGGGCATCTTTAAATTGTCATCCACAAGAGGGTTTTCTGATACTTATTCCTAACCCAGAGACCTTCATCCATCTGACAAATTCTCCAACCAATTTTAGCCAACATTGCTTAATTTTACGAATAAGGGCATATTAGCACAGACAAACAAGTACATATTCCCATGGCTTTATTGCATTTTAAAGCAAGCAGCAACTCAAACAAGTACATATTCCCAGCACTAAGAAATCTTTTCAAAACTTCAATTCAACTATGAAACATTTCCTTGCTGGTTGTTCATTATTTCTCTCAAAATAACAGTGATAACAAAACTGAACAAAAAGAGCAGATATATAAAGAACCTTTAAACCAGAAGCTCCTCCACCATAACAGTTGTACTGAACTGCATGCATAAGTTTGGGCACCACGGCTGCCATACTCAGAGACAGAGAGAATGAAATTTTTGCATCACCGTCAATTGTTATATTGTGAAAAGCTGAATTTATCAATTGTTAGACAATTTTTGTTCTCTTGAGAATTCAACGATTAAGAGTGATTTTATGGTATAAAATTGATACAGTACAATAATGCTATAAAAATTATATTCCAAATCATACATATAAAACAAGAACACAGAGAGATTAATTAAAGAAAGCAATTGAATATCCTAAGTCTAGTTTTGTCTCATATATGAGGCAGTTTCACATTGTACTGAACAAATCCTCACAAATATAAGCAGTGCAATAAAATATACTATGGTCAATCGCGTGTTACTAATTTCAAGCTGTTAATGCATCTTGGCCTTATTGTGGATCCACACGCATCTATGACCAAAGTGCGTGAGTGACTGACTGTAGCACTCCTCCGAGGCAACATGGGAGACCCTCACACATAGCATGAAATACAACAAATTACCCACAAAAATGGTTCTTAATTATTTATTAGTAATTCCTATACCTTTTCAAGTAATCCAAGACAGATTATTAGTTGGCATGATGCTTTTCGAAATCTCAAAATTGATACACATTTGTTCATGTACTTTATGAGCCACACATCTTTTACAATAAATTGAAGAGGTATTTCCAAATAATTAAGCATTCTCTGCAACATATCCAAAAGCATCCTTGCAGTTGTTCCACAAATCAGCCACCATGGTAAAAATCATCTCAGACAACCCTTCAGAAACCTCTGGAACATCTGTGAGCAACCCATCAAGTGAAGTCTTTGTTTTCTCCATGAGATCTCCAATCGCAGAAGTTGTAACTCCAGCAGACCCAGTGACAATTTCTTTTAGATAATCAAAGATAGTAGAAATTAGAGCACTTATTGCTTCCATTACAAGGCCCACAAAGTACTCAGAACATGACTTAATGACCTCTGTGACTTGTTGTAATGTGCCATGGATGGCTTGGCCTGGTCCTCTGAATCCATGGATCAATAGCACCAGAATATGGGCAGTACCAGAGAAGATCAACCACGAAACAAAGTTCGATATGAAGCTCAATGCAAAGAAGATGAGTTTGAGAAGGAACACAACCATCTAAGAAAGCTCCAATGTTATTTCTTAATGACATTGAAATTTCCCAGAAGATGGTGATACAACAACTGCTCCTTATAAAAACTAGAACAAACAAATTAAACTAATGGGTTTCCCATTTCATTAGTAAACGTGTGACCTCAACTCTGTACACACACACACATATATATATATATATATATATATATATATATATGTGTGTGTGTGTGTACAGAGTTGAGGTCACACGTTTACTAATGAAATGGGAAACCCATTAGTTTAATTTGTTTGTTCTAGTTTTTATAAGGAGCAGTTGTTGTATCACCATCTTCTGGGAAATTTCAATGTCATTAAGAAATAACATTGGAGCTTTCTTAGAGACTGATTCTAACTAAAGATAATAGTAATTAATTAAGTAAAAAATGGTCTTCAAAGTTATGTTTCTGGAATTTCCACGTCTGTAGATAGTTATCTTATATCTGCTTATAAATTAATCCACTCCCTTGACTTTGAGAGTCAAATGAGAGAGAGTCTTACCCCAAACATAATTCAATCAAGTGGGTGTTTGCAACTAAGTAAATATGAGTTGTCTCACACATAATGTAAGCCCTGGAGCAACAGAAACATCTGAAATACTGTCAAATACTTCTAACAGTTGAAAATGAACATTTAGTCCCAAACCTTCTCATTTACAATATCCAATGATGCATAAAACCAAAAAGAAAAAGAAAAATCCACACACTATCAAATACCTTATTCTTTTGTACATGAAGTTTACTACAATTGCAAAAAGTTTCATGAAGTTCACAATCCTAGTAAATTTTGTCTACTCAAGGCTCCACAATGATCTTCCCGGTGCATTGGGTATTGATTCTTTTAGCCCAAGCATCTTCAGCCTTGCTCAGAGGGTAGTTTGAGTCAATTACTGTCTTGAGTTTTCCTTCCTTGGCCAACTTAACAAGACAATCCAGGTTCTCAGCCTTGGCACTTATAGCCAGTAGCACCAGCTTCTTCTTGGAGAAAGTGATTTTCTTCAGAACAAAAGTAAACAGATTACTTGCACCAATAGTCAGGTCTGTTACCTTCCCTCTTGCACTCAAATTTGCCTCGAAAACTGACCAAGGAATGGCTGATGATGCACTGTGGATCACAACATCATATTTTCGACCTGACGGGCTCTTCAGGGATGCCCCTTCAGGTGTTTTGTAGTCAAGAACCTCATCTGCCCCTAAGCTCTTCACCAATTCAATGTTCCGAGCTCCACAGGTGGCGGTAACATGAGTGTTTCCAAGCTTTGCTAGTTGGACTGCATAGAGACCAACACCACCGGCGGCACCAGTAATCAGTATGTTCTTCAGCTGGCCAGTTTCATCAAGCTTGATCCTTGCATCCTTGGTGACAGCCTGGTGAGCTGTGAGACCGGCCATAGGTAAGCCTGCACCTTCAGCTGCTGAAACTTCAGGAGGCCTAGCAACTACTAGTTTCTCTTTAGCTACAGCAAACTCAGCCAGTCCACCTGCATTCTATCAACATGTAACAGTTCATATGATCAGTAACAAAAACAGAAGTTTAATATCTTCAACCAAGGCATCATGATTGGAATAAAATGAGCACTTACACCAAAGCTCAGTAATGCCACAACTTTGTCTCCCACTTTGAACTTCTTGACTCCTTGTCCAACCTCTACTATCTCTCCAGCTACATCAGTAACTGTTCCCCATAATGTCATCAGCCAAAGTTAACGTTAACAAATCAAACGACTGGCCTAAGATTCGAAGACACTGAATGCATACACAAAACTGATCTCATCTTTGTAGTTGCTCATATGGGCAACCAAAAAGCATTTAAACTTGTTTATTTTTGTAGTTACCACTGATTGGGGCAGCGTAAGCAGACGATGGTTTGCTAACATGTTCGTGGACTGAAAAGTTATTCACTCAGTAACTCTCAATTACAAGCCAGTATGTGCTGTTGTGTCCTAATTTCTGTTTACAAATGTTGAATAGGCATAGATCTGACATGCTAACAAGGCATTGTCTAGCAAAGAAAAGATTGTTAAGTGCAGACCACTGGAAAAAGAGAGTTACCAGGTGTGTAAGGCAATTTGCGTGGGACAAAAGGGCGCACCAGGCCTTTCTGAATTTTAAAATCACTTGGATTCAGACTAGCTGCTTCTATTTTCAGCAAAACTTCATCTTTCTTCAGAGTGGGGATTGGAATCTCAACATGCTGCAACAAACACAACACATATAACAGTTTACTAAGGCAGCTCCAAAACAGCAAGAAACCAACACAAGGAAGGACAAAGGAAACCAGAAAAACCAAGCAAGGCTAACAATATATAACAAAGTCTCAAAGAAACAAGTAGTTCAATGTCTCAAAGTCTTAAAAGCCCTGTCCCATGGCTGTATTGCTCTTTAAGCAAGCAGCACAAACAAGTAAATATTCACAGCACCAAAAAGTCTTTTCACAAGTTCAGATCAACCATGATACATTTTTCATTGGTTGTCCATTCTCTCCCTTTTCTCTTTAGCATATTAGTATCAGTCAATTTCTAAACTCTTAAAATAACTAAATGTAAAACTGAGACGAAATAGAATATGAATATGTCAGAAGCAAAAATCAAAAAACAAAAAACAAAAAACAAATATCCAGGAATTCTACAAAAGCATTGGTTAAAAAAATATAAAGAAAAGGAGCAGATTCACAAGGAACCTTTAAACCAGAAGGTCCTCCACCATAGCTTTTGTACTGAACTGCATGCATAAGCTTTGCCGCCATGGCTGCCAAACTCCGAGGCTGAGAGGGTGAGAATTGTGAGGGAGAAATGTTTGAAATGCACCATTAAGTGAATCCTATCTATATACCAATGCCCCCCATCATGTGAACTGCATATATTATTCTGCAATTTGCTCAGTTTATAAATTGTTGGAAAACTTTGTGCCACATAAGAAGTCAACCTTTAAAATTGTTGTATTGCAGCCTTTGTTTGATTGATGATTATTGTGGAAGCAAAATATCTCACCCTGGTCAAATAATTAGGTCAATCGATTTGGGAATTATTTGACCTAATTAGGAGTTACCTAACCTAATTGGGAGTTACCTAAGTTAATTGGGAGGTTATTTGATTTAGGAGGGTGTATTCAATTGAGATTTTAAACGACTATTTATGGATAAATAAGTCCAGTGGATTTTAAAAGACTATTTAGGAACATAATGACTTGGAAGGACTTTTTTAAAGATTTTTTATATTCAGGATTTTTTATGTTTGGATTTTAAAGATTTATATCATAAGAATTTATAAGATTGGGAAGGATCACATGGATTTTTTATTTGTATGATGCTAACTAATGAGATTGGATTTTCTGCTCATCCTTACATAAAAAGATGAAATTTATTGCATGTCGTTTTCTTCATGACTTTTAAGAAACAGAGTAGTCTTGGCTTGCAAGTTGCAAAGATGAAATTTATTACATGTCGTTTTCTTCAAAACAGAGTAGTCTTGCCTTGCAAGTTGCAAAGATAGAATTTATTGCATGTCGTTTTCTTGCAAGTTGCAAAGATGGAATTTATTGTATGTCGTTTTCTTCATGAAGGGCCATAGACACAGATCATATACAAACATGGCATATAACAAATATATAGACAATAAACGCAAGAAGACATAGCACGAGAAGGAGGCAATACCTTGTTGAAGAGATGTTTATCTTCACGAAGAGATGTTCGTCTTCTCTAGCAGAAAAAAAAATCTCATGTGAAAAGTCTGATGGGTTAGGGTGGGATTTTTTTATAGGGTTTGGTAGTTATACCTCCCACTAAAAAGTCACACCAATTCCCTATTTAAAAAAAAAAATCCTTCGAAATTAGTAAGTTTTTGAATACCAAAAGACTTTTTGTTACTTGTTTAAAGTCTTGATTGAATACCACTAGATTTGGACACCCTCTTTAAAAAATCCTAATAGTCCTGATTGAATACCACAAGACTTGTTTAGATTATTTAAAAAGACTTGTTAAGACTTTTTGTTACTTGTTTAAAGTCTTGATTGAATACCACTAGATTTGGACACCCTCTTTAAAAAATCCTAATAGTCCTGATTGAATACCACAAGACTTGTTTAGATTATTTAAAAGTCTTAATTGAATACCACAAGACTTATTTATCCCAAAATAGTCTTTTAAAATCCTAATTGAATACACCCCCCTTAAATGGGATGTATCTTATTCTTAACTTAATTAGGGATTTGATTATCAAATCCCTAATTACACCAACCTCACCAAATCAGGGAATAATTCCTTTCCATCTGTGGAATTATTCGTCTAAAACCCTAGCATCCGAGGATCCTGTAAATACTTGGCTACGCACAAGGGTTGAGGTACGTCTAAATTCCTACTGAAACTCTGCAGAAATTATCCCTCACTAACCCTAGCCGCCATACTCTTTCTCTCTCACACACAAAGCTCCGGCCACCACACACGGCTCCGGCCACTTAGTTTTCCTTCAAACACCCAACCTAACTTAGGCATCGGAGGGCCTTTGGCCAACACCCCTCGGATGTGGTCTTTTTACTCCGGTTTGTTTTGTAGGGAGAAAGAGAAGCGAAGAAGACAAAGGAATCTTAGATGAATATTTTTGTGGAACAAAAATCGCTCTCACAATTATCTCATTTACAAAATTGAACTTTTTTATTTGTCAGTACAGTAATCTATGAAAATAGTAGTTCAATCACATATAAAATAATAACAGATTTAGAATAAAGCCATCGTTTTCAGAACTTGTTGTTCTATATATATCTATAGGGCTTGACTTGGTCATTAAAGCAAAATCTAACCCAGCCGCAGACTATATTCCAGAAGCTCCTCCACCATAACTTTGGTTTACTTAATAAGTCAACGTTGAGGTTTGAGCAATTTGTTTGATTAAAGGGTTATTTCATAGTATAAAATTGAAATCTCCACAGTACAATAATGCTAGCTAGGAAAATTATATTCCAAATCATACATATAAAACAAGAACACAGTGA